GTGTTTGTGCCTGTGCACGTATGTGTGTGTATGTGTGTGTGTGTATATATATGTGCATGTGTGTATGGGTGTGTACGTGTGTGTATATATACGTGTGTGTGTGTGTGTGTCTTTCTAACTTGTAATGATACGACCTAAGAATGTTTAATTTTTTTTTTTTTTTTTTTTTCTTTGTTATTTAACTGCCAACTGTTAAAAGTGTATTTTATGAAAATTCCTCTGTGTTAGTTCAAGAAGCTTCCAATGGTTAAGTTTTTTTTTGTATATTAGTTTAGCTTAAATATTTAAAATGTTACCTTCCTAAAATTACCTGCAAATTATTTAGTGTTTCAAATTTTTAACTAAATAATTTATCTGATTACTTTCTAATTGCAAACACTTCATTTTGATCCGATGAAGATCAATTATTGTACGAAAAAATTAAAATTGATTGATCGATTGATCGATCGATCAATCGATGAGAAAAGTTTTCAACCCTCCGGGAATACAAAAAAAAAGAAAAAAGGAGAAAACATATGTTAATTAAATATGAATACACTTAATATATGTTAATTAAAAATACGAACATATATTTTAATTAAATCTATTCGTATTTTTACGTGATAAAAAAAAAAACGAAGAAAATATCACGTAATTATTTTTGTTACAGTTATTTATTAATTAAATAATATGTAACATAAATAATCATTATTCATTGATCTAACAAATATTTTAAAAAGAATAGAGATATATCATTTATAACAATTAACAATTTTGTTTATCCTGAAATAACAAATTAATTAAGTGTTAAAAGAAAACAAACATCATGCTAATTAAGTGTAAGGGAATAAGACAAACTATGATATAAATTATTAGATGTTAACAATATGAAATTTGAAAAAAATTTCCATTTTAAATTTAATATTTTGTGTGATATAAAAAACGAAAAACAAAAAAAAAAACAAAAAAAAATAAAGTCTCAATAATTAACAATTAATTAATCATTTTGTGAAAATTTTATTTGATGAAAAGAAAAGAAAAGTCTGAAAGAACTATTTCAAGAATGGTTAAAATTTTGCATCCAATTTTTGCAAATATCTTACATATTTATTATTAACTTCAAAATTTCAATAGTTTTTGTGACATTTTTACGATAAATCGATTTGTTAATTGTGATATTTTTCGCTGATAAATGATTTTAAATGAAGTATTATGTCAATTTTTCGTCATTTAAGAATGCCTAATTGTATTAAAATGGATGTTCCAATTAATAATATCTTGAATATTCATAAAATTAATGAGATATTTTTTTAATTAGTTGAAAAAAAAAAGCTAATTGTCAAAATTTTGGATGAATAATTGGATGAACAGAAAAAATGCTAACAGGAGAATGCGATAAAAGTGAAATAGGAAAAATTGAAAGGAAAAAAAAACTATCACAATTTACGCTCTCTTCAATCATTTACATGCCTATCAGATAATTTAATATGAAATTTAAATTTTTCATTAATCATATTTCTAACAAAAATTATGTTCAACAAATTAAACAACTCTCATTATCCATTGCTATTTACTATAAGAAATCATCTATGCAAATTTTTAAAGTTATCATTGAAATATTAAAATGTAATCACTGCTCATTTTCATTATCTCAATGAATTAGCAGTAACAGTATTGTTTGTTGCAATTGTTATCATCAAAATTATTATCTTTTCTAGCATAATTTTTACTGATACATTAATAATCATCATAATTATTATAGCAATACTAAGCCAAATATGGATGAAGGAAATGATATGATAGCTGAGGGAATAATATTTAATAATTAAACAAAATACAAAAAAAAATAAAATGAATAAAAAACCATTGTTATATCATTTAATTAAATAAAACTACTGTAATAATACATATAGCTGAGAAATGTAAAGTATTTGAAAAGGTATACATTTGATGAAATCTTACATCAACGGCAACTGTCCACATTTAAATCATTTATCAATTTTATCTCTTCCATCTTATCCAAGCTATTTCATAATTGAATGGCAACTGATATGTAATGAAAGTCTAAATCGGTGGATTACTATTCTATTCCATTATTTCAATTGATAAACAAATATCAATAATTAAAAACGGATGAAATATTTCGAATTTTTATTCAATTTTGATAAACAATTTATTTGTAATAAAATGATAACTTTAATAATGTGTTACCATTTTAACACTTGATAAATCATCACTATCATTATTGTTATTATTATTATTATTATTATTATTATTATTATTATTATTATTATTATTATTATTATTATTATTATTATTATTATTATTATTATTATTATAATTATTATAATAATAA